ATAATGCGATATAACTTATAATGTAACCTGCTTCCTAAATAAGGTAATGTAATTTCATCGGGACATAAATAATATGTAATTACAGTTCATAAAACCGGAAATAAATTACGACCGCAAACAATGGTTGTTCATTAAGGGATCAGCAGTTATGGCGAAGGTATATCGAGAAAATATAATATTATAACAAAGACGTAGAAAGGAGTTGAGTACAAAAGGTGAAGGGTAACATGATAAGCTTGATATAGTGTTCTCAGTGGTTGTATTAATATCAGCTTGTAAGATGTTCTTACTGTAGCGCCTTTGTGGAGGAAAAAGTACCTTGCTTCATTTCTCTACGTAATGTCTGTATATTGTTTGAAACGTTGAAAGCTTAGGACATTTTTAGCACTGATTTTAAAACGTGATCTATGTAACTGTGTTGGTACTAATATTAATGGCATCTGTTTTAAATTCAATTCTTTTATTTTCTTCAAATTATAACAACTAATCCTTTTTCGGCCTTATCATTTGGAAGACTTAAGAATTGTAATTCCTGGATTTTAATAATTCATTTTTTCACTTAGTACTTTATGATGCATTTTAAATTAATATATAATGCTTTAGTTAGTATAAAGATGTTTAAGCTTAAATAATGTCTGTAGTTTACGCGAGTAGTGTACTTTTAATTAAAAACATTTCAACAGTTTAAAACGCGATATATTAAATATATCGCGTTTTAAATAATTCACTAATGTTAAACTAATTTGAAAATTAAAATAATTTCGAAATAAGTTTAACTAATATATATCACGTTTTAAACCGTTAAAGTGTTTTATTTAAATGTTTATGCTCGCTGTTGAGCTCAAAACAAATTTTAGAATCATTTATATACTTTATTTGCGCCTTAAAAACACTTAATATAAATTATAAAAAACAATGGCCTTTCTTTAACACATTAATTAAAAGTAAAGAATACGTGACAGATACAATATATATATTTAGGAAGCTTGTATGATACTTGGTGTTTATATAAGTATAATAATAATAAATTAAGTAAAGCATTATAGTTAAGTAAGACCAGATCCCTTCTGATCGAGGAAGGGGAGACGCCGTCGTCCTTAGCTGGTAAAACACTATGGATAAAAAAAAGTAGATACTCGATATTACTTTTGTTTCGTGTAACAGAAGCGCAACCAACAAAGCAAAGCTGTCATAATTTTAAAATATTAAACACATGCAAATTGAATAGACACCGATAAAAGTTTCCAATATAATTAAATCAAGCGTGTAGCCGCGGGCGCTACGACGTAGCGCCGGCTACGATACTTCGTCCAAAGGTGATAATAACGCGTGTTAAATTTTCGTGTCATTGGTAGAACATAAGGTTTCTTTAATAATTTAGTAGAAGGTTCTAGGTTCGAATTAAATGCAAATGTAAATGAAAATTTTTAAAAGCGTATGGTGAGTGTTACCCGCTAACAATTACATCTTACTAAACGTCATTTTACATGAAAAACTCATAAGTCTATTAGTAACCGGCGACTCTGTAATGATCTTTGCTGTTCCGCGAGCCAAGTGGATTCTGCGTGTATCTGTATGCGAGCCTTTTGTACTCGGCTCTATTGTGTCGCTAATGAGAGATCTCAGCTACGCATCGCAATATTTAGCTTTCACTGAACTTTCAAAGCATGTTCGTATTGTAATTAAAACTGCAGATTAAAGTTGCGTGTATTGGTTAAGTCAAACTTCCAATGACATATCTCTACTTAAATACTATGTGTAGACTACGCGAGCAGTACACATTTAAATAAAGCACTTTAACCGTTTAAAACGCGATATATTTTAGTTAAACTTGTTTGAAAATCATTTTAAACTACAGCCCGACGTTTCGGATGCTTTGTAGCCGCCATGGTCACGGGGAGACCCACGGCCGCCCCTTGTGACCACGGCCATGGCGTATCGCGTTTTAAACCGTTAAAGTGGTGTACTTAAATATCTCTACTTGCCTGTGTAGGACTTTTTAGATCATTTTGTAAAGTGTGCGAGTTTGTTCGCCGAAATGTAGTTTTTGTTCTCGAATATTGTGTGTAGAGAAACTGGTAAGCACCTGCCAACCAATAAGATAATAATGGCGATTTAATAATAATGCGAAAAATCGACATTAATATTGTTCTATTCTCTTCTTCTATTTTTCGTTCTTTCTATAACGTACATTTTATATATTGTATAAATTTAAAAATAGTTCACTATGTGATTTTTTTATATTCTAACATCAAATCCTATTTTATTTCAAGTTTATACTTGAAATTAAATTGAAGCTAAAATATTTTAATTAAAAACACGGTTTTAGCCACTTTGTTTTACTTTAAACTCCCATCGGCCACAAATATTAACCAAAATGAAGTCTCTTCAGCTCTGTACAATGTCGAGGTTTCAAGCAACTTTGTTTAAGCAGCTCAAACAATATTCGGGCATTGTTCGTGATTAAACTTGCGTACTTTCCAGTTGCCGAAAATAATATTCTGCTGTAAACAGACTTAGCTAAGTTTTATCTGACGCAACAGCAATAGATAATAATGAACCATAAATATTTTTCAACTTCTGACTCAGTGTAATTATGTAAGGGATAACTTATGAAAAAAAAGTCCAGTCAAACGGGATACATAAGTCTGATCTATTAGTTACACCCATTGTAAAAAACAGACACAACATAACACAAATGTATTGTATATAAATGTGTGAAATCCCGTTTTCTCCTCGTGGGGCATGGGGCGAACACATTTCTGTGTCCATTTTACTGATCCGTTCTTTAACAGGCAAGTAGTTGAATCCGAAGCCCAGGGAAACAAAAAATTGTTTCCCTGGGCTTCGGAATCCAGGACCTCTCGCGCTTAACGCAATGCTAGGCGATACGTTTAACCATTTGGTTACAGTCTATAATTAAATTAATGTGTGTAATTAAGTACACATAAATTTAAAGCACAGAAAAATTGTGTACTATATTAATTGAACTTATTATTATGCTATAAAACTGTAACAGAGGACATCCAGCAAAATGATAAAAGAAGGTAGAAGAAACATGGCCAGGGTGGGGAAAAGCGGGAGAGGGCGAAAAAGATTATATAATTTTACATACAATGATTATTTGTATTTAATCATATCGTATATAGTCTAAGAACAGAGTAAATAGAAAAGTATGTAATACCTTCAATATTTTTTAATCCTAAAAATGTTGAAGCTATCATAATATTACAGCGAAATCTAAAAACTCTTTTTGACTACAATACGAAGTAGGGCTTTTGAGATAACATTTATGTTTATGAAATACGGTCACATTACAAGTTACAAGCCAGATAAATAAGCGGACTGGATCTTTGGATAACGCTGACTTACCACAAACAATAATATTGCGAACTTCGTGCCCAAGATAAAGGCAAGTTCACAGTGAAATATCCGGAGATTTCAAGATTATAACTAGTCTTTATAAATCGTTTGTTTTCTTAAGGATGGACTTAAGTTATATTAGATTATAATTTATTTGAAAACAATACAAAGAAATAAAGAACAGTCGTTGGGATATCTCAGATAAGTAATTAAAAAGTTAATACAGTTAATTTTGTACCAAGGTGCTTAGTCTTGTGATAAACGTGCTCTAAGATTATTCAATGTTTTGAAGCAAACCATAACATTGATAGATTGCTGATTATTTGGTTTTTATAATTACCAAAGACTATACACAATATGTTTTAACGTTATCCTTTTCGTGCCATAGTTAAATAACCCTTGTAGAATCTGTAGCAGCGTTATGTTTTGTATTATCTGTGCGCTGTGTTCGTTTTGGCGGGAAAGTGTTCCGTCAACACCTCGATAAACTGGAAAGATATATAAAAATAGCTAAACAACTATTTTTGCTAATATAAATTAACGATTTGTTTGTTTTATAATAATAATCGTATTAAACTAGTTACCACTTTTCTGTCAAAATGAAAAATCTAACAATCAATATTACAATTAAAAGAGATCAATTACGCAATTAAAACGAAAGAGGTGTAAATAATACCGAAATTTAATTAAAATCCTTCATTAAAGGATCAATCCTAACTGATGAATGCTCACATATGTGGCATAATGTTAATTAAATCCGACGCACCTACACTTTGTTATTATAAACACCTCCAATAGCACCTGGTAATAATTCCTTAATGTATTAATTATACTAAGCTACGTGCTAATATTAAATACAAAGCTTCGATTTCGATCTTTATGTTACTGAGAGATATAAACCTTTTATTAATAGAAATACATATGTGATAACGTTTTAATTAAAATGTTGGTGGTAACTATTGTAAGTGTAACTTTAATAAATCTTTTTAGGCGCACTTTTTAGACACAACGTACGGAAACGAAGCCTTTTATATATATTTATATATGAGGCTGATAGAGGCAGAGTGGCCTAATAACAAAAAACATAATTTTCGATAATGAGGAATTTGTACTATTATTTGTGTTCTGTTGTTGTAATTATGTTCACAATTTTCGGTCACTGTAGATTAACATTTTTAGAAGAACTCAAGTCATAAAACTGCAGTTAGGCTACTCTGACTCTATCGGCCTCATAATACTGTAGCGAGTTCATTAGTTAAACTTAGAATCGAGAGAAAACAAAACACGTGGTCCTGAGTGGTCGTGGAAACATAAGTAATAATACAATCTAAAAACTCTACATTAGTTCGATGGACCGATGGTTATCTATTATATTATATATTCTATCAAAAAACATATATGTAAAATCAAAGCCATATTCAATATTAAGATATATGATTTGGTTCTTGGCTTCAAAGACAAAAGAATTGAGATATAAATGCGTAAGTCAGACCTAAAATTTGTTTATAACAATATGAATTATAATTTTATTATAACTTATAATATATTGTTGATCTGACCTGACTAGTTAGATATACGAATAATTCGGTAGATAAGATAATAGAATAAGAACAGACCCGTAGCAAATTTATAACAAAATGAAAGCTAGCGAAGACAGACGTATGGCTGCAATTTATATACTACGTTGTACTAAAAATGATGTTATTAATAATTTTAGAGAAATAATGAATTAAAATAATATTGATAGTTGCTATTATTGACGTTACTACCTATTAAATTATGTACAGACGACTATTGAACAACAAAGAGAATGAATTCGCTTATTCATATATTATAGATTCAAGATAATCCGTTTAATTTTTAAGCTCTTACCAGCTTTCAGATTATAAACATTCCATGAAATTCAGCGATGTAATAAAGGCATAGTTCAGAACACACCTGTCTCCATCATCACCTCGCGTTCAGAAATTTCAATATTAAACTTCCCTTTGTCTGGAAAAGTTCCGGATTTTTCGGTTTTTTTTTTATTCAATTTCCAAGAACTGTAAACATGTGAAACATTCGCATACATGAAAGTATCGTTTTTGAAATACAAACGTACTTTTTTCGTTCTGTAAACAATACTGTTTGTGGTTGTTTGATTAACAATAAATAGAATTGTATCACCAGTGATATTAGTAAGTCAATGCCATTTTTATAAAGTAATGAAATTGTAATACGTATAAAATTACCATAAAACCAGATTTAAAAGTAGATTTTGACGGGCCGTTGGTTTTATGGTAGCAATGTAAGCAAGGAATCGTTGGTTTGATCCCCATAGGATCCAATGTGTTACAAAGTAATTTATAATTTTTCTGTAACATGATGGCCTTTGTCTGGAAATCTTGCTAATAAATGGGTGATAGGAATATCAAATTCCGTACGGTTCAAGAACTACCGTCAATAGATGAGCAATCCATGAAGTTTGATCGCATTTTAAGTCTGAGGTTTAATATACTAAATAGGCCGACCGCGCATCTTGTTCAGTAGTTATATGGGGGTATTTTACCTACCTTCAAGTAATCACATGCTTGTCTGTCCTCTTATATCATATCTATCATACAACTTAGCAGATTTCTGTCTTTGCGACGTTAAACACAACGTTTAACGTATTGTTTGATTAAATAATATTTTGAAAGGTAATTTAATGATTCTCAATGAGAATGAAACTCAAAATGACACAATAAGACACATTCAATCTACCACGACTGCCGATAAACTAAAAATTGGTACTTTGCCATAAGAGTTAGACAAAATACATGTCATTTAATATACCCTTACCAACAAAATCTATAATAATATTATAAATGCGAAAGTAACTCTGTCTGTCTGTCTATCCGGCTTTAACTCCGAAATCACTGGACTGATTTTAATGAAATTGGCACACAGATATTTTAGAGCCTAAGAAAGGTCATTGGCTACTTTTTAATGCCAAAAAAGGGTGAATAGGGGTTGAAAGAGGGGATAAAAGTTTGTATGGAAATTCGTGGTTTTTGAAGCTAAAACAATGAAACTTTCTTCTTTGGATTTTTGGGAATAGGAGTGGGAGTTAAAGTACGAGTGAAGTGAGGTGAGAATGTTGCGGAAAAGTAGCACTAACAACATAGATTGGCTTCCTTAAATGCGCCGTTAATAAACAGCCTAAATGATTAAAAATTCTACCCGAAGTCACTATTCGACGCGAACGATGTCGCGGGCACAGCTAGTACTTTATACTTTTAAGGAACAGCGACGTTGCCGTTATTAGATAGACACCTCAACAACAAACTAATAATATTGTTCTTGCGAGTTTAGCTTGAATTTCATGCATACAAAACTACCTTTATTGTATTAGAAACAGGCAAGTAAAGTTACCATTTCTGTCGCTTAGCCACGTTCATTATAACGCAATTAGGTGGCGACACTTGAAGAGCACAGTTGTTGTATATCTATAGCTGTGTTTGTGAAACGACTGCCGTGGCTCCCGTGAAATTAAACGGAAATCGAAAATTGTGGCTTGCGGTTCTCATACCTAATGACAAACCGAAGATAGGAAGCATTAATACATAAATAAAAACACTTACAAAATTTTACTTTGTCTCGCATTTGACAATTTACTTGTTTCTTTTTTTTCATACTCATTCAAACGTGCCGAAAAACATGTCTGTCTCGAGCTACTGAAATACATAGTAAGTAAGTGAAAGCCCGTTTCCCCCTCGTGGGGCATGGGGCGAACACATTTCTGTGTTCGTTTCACTGATGCGTTCTTTTAACGGGCAAGTAATTGATCAGACTTCTGTGCCCTGCCTGACCTCTCGCGGCAATGCTAGGCAATACGTTTAACCATTTGGCTACAGAGGCGGTCTGAAATACATAAATCATAAATACTGTGAAATTTGAAATACAATATATTGAAACATCTAAAAGTAAACAAAGCGACAGCGCACCTGCACTAGGTACTGAAGATAGGGTTTATTGACTTTCCTATCAAGTTTGCTTCATTCTTGCATTCCAGGTGGAAGCAGAGGTCTGCTATAAACATATTTTATCCTCAAGCATGACCACAATGTTTTTTTTTTAAATTACATGTTACATTTTCAAATATAACAATTTTAACGGTTTAAAAGCGCTAAATGTATTTGTTAAACTTATTTACAAATTACTACAAGACAAGACAAGTTAATAGTGTTATTTACAAATTAATAGTATTCACTATGGCACGACGTTTTGGATGTTTTGCAGCAGCCGTGGTTATATGTCGCGTGGTACATTTTACGTTTTAAACCGTTAAAAGTAGTTTCATTAAAATATGTACTACTCGCGTGAATTTACTCATAAATTTTCAATCAATAATTATATCAAGTGTATGTCATATGAAAATTATATACACAGAACGAGACATATTTAGCAAATTGTCAATTTTTTGTCTACAGTAGTGCGAGCATCACCCGAGCCTCGAAGGCTAACCCTGGAGCCACCGCATCACGTCGAGTTCACCAACGACACTGGCGTCATCCTAACTTGCGCGACCAGAGGACAGTACCAGGTATGGAAAGTACCTATTGGCTGTTCCTAGTTATATCATGTTATGCACAGTCCGTTGAGTGAGTTGGCAAGACACATAGCTTGATTAACACATAAGTATTGAAGCTGCATTGGGGGCAAATTTTGTAATTATTTAATAATAGTACGATTTTAATACTAAATTGGTACTGGTAAGTTTTTTATATTACTGGGTTAAGGTAATTGAAAATTGAGCATCTTATCGGGGCAGTGATTAATTATCGTTTTTATGAGATCTCGTGGGCTCTGATATAAATGGCTGAGGTTGATATATATTTATATTTTAGGAGGTTTTTATTTTTAACGTTTCAATAGCATATTTCCCATACCAATACTACGATTAACTCTTGTTTTCAACTATTGCAAATTATGATATTTATGAAAACCTATAGCAACTACCACCTAACTATTTACATATGTAGCATCGCTGCCATCTATTAGTTCAATAAATCGATCCAATAGTTCTTTTAACGCCCACGGATATGCGAAAACACCAAGTAACATTTGCGACTTGAGTATAGTCGATATAGTAGCATTGACGTTTTATAAACTGTCATTGATGAATCTATCATTTTTCAATGACGATAATTGACAGCTTTTTATTTTAAATAGGGATGTTCGGTAAAAAATAGAGTTTCGCGCGGAAGATGGTCTTGTTCGTGAAAGCGATTGCGTCTTGAACAAAGTCAATAGTATTCACGAATGGTCATGTTAGAAGTTACCGCCGCTGTATTGAACTTAGTGTTTCCAAAAGTAATCTGTTTAGATCGATTCAATATTGTGCACTTTGTGTTTATTTGTTAATTTAAATAGTATTTTGTACTGTACATACAGACGTCTATTTTTAAATTTCTATCGGGTCATCCGACAACGCTTCGACATATTGAAAATATACGTCAATATTTATTGATTAGAATTGAGCATGTACCTCTGTGTGTATTTACATCATACATACATAACTAGAGATACTATATACCTCTTTTAATACGACATCAAAGAAAGAGAATATATGCTATTGATAAACTTTTGGTAAACGTTAAACAAACGTTATTAACAACCACACCGAATACTAATTCAGTATTCCAACTCCAACCAAAGTCAAATACAAATAAAGTTTTACTATAGAAGCGGGTTGGGGTAAAGTTTACGGTCGTTTCCACCGGGAAATAAAGATATGCGCCGAGTCTTTCACTGAAACAGAATCGATGGGCGGTTAAGTCTGCCGTCTGAAGGGTTGTTTTAAGTGAACTTAGTGTGTGAATAGCATGTTTATGAATAGACCCGAAGGCCTTTTCAATTGGGGAAATATCGTCAACTAATAAATTTGAATTCATTTTGTTGTTCTAAATTCGAGGTTATCAAGTGTTAATTTGAATTTAGAACAAAAAAAAGTAAATTTGGATTTCGAACTAAAAAATGTAAAGTTACGTAATTGTAACTTTACTTTTTTGAATCACGCTTTTGTACGAGTCTTATTGTATTTTATTTCGAGGCAAGTGAACTTAGCTATCTCTTTCTCTACTACAATAGCGTTGCAAACCTGAAACTTTTGCACGCAACGTAATTAAAAATAGCTTTTATAACGATCCTACAAAGAATGTAATGTTTTAATCGATATTTAGTTATTATTAAATGGGTAAAACACCGCCGTTTCTTAGGTTGTTCATATCTTATCTTAAGTTAAACAGAAAATTCAAGTTCAGTTTTTAGTAAGATCAATAACGGCTGCACTTAAAAGTGTCGCAATACTTAAAAAATAAACTCGTTTCCGTATTCATCATTGATTCAGACCACATTGAGAATACTTCCCAATACTTATTCCAATACGAGCAAATACGATTTGATTTATTCAATAGAGCGAAGTAAATTATTCATTAAATACGTCTCAGAATATCGGCGTTCGACTAGCACTTAATATTCCCAAGAGTGCCTTCGTATTGCTTAACCTGGCTTGTCAAAACGCGATTAAGTCCTAACTCGAATATCGTTCAAATCGAATTCAAACAGACTTTTTTATTACCCCTTCACCTCTTTCCAAATAACCGCGTTCGTGGCGCTATAATTAAGCGTGTTACGAGAGATCTTGGATTCTATTCCAGAATTCTTATGCTCGGGCAAGGCACATCCATCTATGAAACGAAGATAGCAATTAATTCGCCCATGCCCATGAACAGGGTGGAAAACAATCTTGTTGGACAGTTGATTCTGACAACAGACTAAATTGACCGGCGCTTTTTAAGCTACGCTGAATTAAAGGACAAACATGTAGATAAAGTCAAATCTTTGCAAAATAATATACTTGAATCGCTCTTTCTTATACATTTATATACCTACACACTGCCTAGAACTGATAAGCATGAAGTCGAAATGATCGAAAATTAACGGCTCTACAATCTTATATTTCGTTTAAAAACCGTTAAAAGTGATTTTTAAACTGATTGATTATGTAAAACCTATAAAATAAACAACGTTTATGTATTATATTAGTATGGCGTGTGAGCCGTAAACGTTCGGTATAAACTTTATAGATCCACCGACGCAAAAACTCGGAGAGAAGAAGGCTACATAAGCAAAGTGTATAAAATCCGAAACAAAAGTAAAGGGGTCACATTATCTCGGGAGGGCAAAAGTGCTAGGCGAAGCGGGAGTCAGGGCAAACAATCGCGGAATGGAGGTCACAGAAGAACTAATGAAGAACCCACGTTGCTTTTACGAAATTGAATATTAGCGCATTTCGTTTGAAATGGTTTTTGAAATATCTACGACAGTTCAGGAATTTATTCACTCGATAGACCGAACTAGAAATAAGAACGACCAATTACTACCGCAAGCGCGAAGTAATTACGGTAAAAATAGTATAAGATTGAAGCTTATTTGTATAATAAGTTACCTAGTTGTATAAAAAAACGCCCAGTCATTATTTCGTTGTATGTAACGTTGCACATTTTAGTTTAAGTACCTAAGTACCGGCATCCAAAGCGTTCGGTATTGTCAATTGGTAAGGGCAAGAGTCGTAGAAGATCAATCTAAAATCGATTTTTAATTAGCTCTTCTTTTGTTTATTTAGAATATGTTCTTAATTGTATATATCTAAAGCAAAAAATGGAAACGAAAGAAAAGAAAATGCTATCCTTGTCTGTTACAAAAAAAACAGCGTGATGGATTTGTCATAAAGAATGATATTTGATAGAGAGGGACAAATAAGTCTGGGCTTCATTGAAGGTGAAGTACATGCATATAAATTAAATAAGATGAACTTTCGACCTTTTTGGCATTGGGTAGTCAACAATCCACAGACTGAAATCGAAACGCAACTAGACTTCACGGCTGTTTCATCTGTGGACGATGGTTCGTGATCCGGACGGTCTTCGGGATATTTTTAATTCCCATTAATCTCCATTACAAAGTTTCTGCAAAATTGTCTTCTACTAATAAGGGCTTTGATTGACATAAACAATAAAACTGAAAAGGGTATTAATTAAACTCATTTCAAAAATATCTTTGGAATTAATTTCATTTGATGTTAATCAAACATTCTTAAATTGACTATGCTATGTGATAATTTAACCATTTATCTATATATTGGTGTTTGTTGTAGTTTACGCGAGTAGTACACATTTAAATAAAACATTTTAACGGTCTCCCAGTGACCACGCCTGCTGCAAAGCCTCCTAAACGTCGGGCCGTAGTTAAAAAATATTTTCTAACAAGTTTAACTAAAATATATCGCGTTTTAAACCGTTAAAGTGTTATATTTAAAAGCTTTATCCTCCTTAATTTTAGTGACTAATACATTCTAATATACAATTTAAGTTAAAAATTGTCCAACTAACACACATTACTTAGATTTAATTAATTTTACGAAATGGATGGATTTATGGTCTGACAAATAAATTATTATTATTATTATTGAATCAATATATTTAGAGTAACATCTAAAAAAAACATAAAATTAAAAAATATTTAGGTAATATATTATGTCGGAGAATGATTATTGTAGAAATTTGTAAATTATCACAAGTTAGGTATGTCATGTTTAACTGTCAAAGTTGATAATCTGTCAAGTCTAGTCACTCTGATCTGTTAAAGTCACTTACGTTGAAACGTCTTAACACTTACGTCGCCTGCAGTGGTTTTGCGCACTGATGATATGTCAAAGCTCCATGGCGACATCGTGGCCGCGAATTCCAAGTTTCCATTTTCCGACATTCATAGGTATGTTGTTAAAAAACTAAACATTATTACAATACAAATTTAATTTCATTATGTAGGAGAAACGTTGAAGCCACAGTATATTGAAAAATCTAGGCAAAAGCAATATCAATCCAAAGGCATCTGAATCGCTTTATGAAATAATAAAAATACACTGAAATATCAACCGTTATCGTAACCGCAGTACTTGGAATAAATCAGGCGGTAGGTAAAATTGAAAATATGCCCGTATTTGCATATGAACACAATCCTTTGCAAATACTCGCTAGAAACTATCTCGGATGCCTCATGTCCTCTTCAAACACGGCCTTTACACAGCTATATGCCGAAAACCATGAATAAAAATATCGCAAAGTGGAATACCTAATGGAATTTACTCATTGCCTATACTGGAATCAAGCACATTTTAAATGGGGGTAGGAATGTTGAAATTTCGTCCGGATCTCGAACTACCGTCCATAAATGAAAAAACCGTGAAAATTCATCGCGTTTCGGTTTCAGTCATCTTGATTAGCTGTTATATGGCTCAAGAATTTTACCTTCTATCAAGTAAAGTTTACCTTCTAAGTAGTCCATGCTTGATTATCCTTCTCTATCATAAGATAAATAAATAAAAAAACGTATATCCCACTTCCTTACTCTAGCGCTGCTTCAAATGAATTGCACGGTTAAAAAAAACACCTTAAACGTTTTTAAACGCGAAACATACAATTTCATTTAGTTTTAACCGGTCGCTTCGTATGCGTTGTAGCAGACGTGGTTATGGGGGAA